GGGATGGGAAAAATATATCAAATTTCATCTAAATACCATCAATTGTTAAAAGAATTGCCTGATAGATCCTTCCATTATTTCAAGTTGGCATTTGTAAAACCTATGAAGTCAAGATGATGTCAAAGAACAGTCTTTACTAAAATAACTGGTTTAATCAAAGTCAATTCACTACTCCTCCAAACTTCATCACAGATTTTTAAAGTGAAATTCAAACTGTCATCCCAGCAACTAACTACACTCCATATGTGCACTATAACAACCTGAGGTTTAAGAGTATTATTCAGGACCTTTGGGGAAAGGTGGGTGAAGCATCTCTCAAAATATCTTATGCAAAAGGAAAAGCTCTTCTTGCTTTTGTTTCTGAGAGTTCTAGAATCCAGGCTTTTTGCTTTCTTTTCCATCAGCCGACTGGCTCCCTTTTCAGTTCTGCTTTCCTCTGTTGATTGATTTCTTCCTCTTCTCTGGGAAAAAAAATATACAGAATATGTGGACACAAATATTTGCCAACACCTATCCTCACAGTCTGGTAACCCCAAAAGATCAAAACCCTCTTTCTCCTTCACTGTCTGCATGTAGATCATGGGTAAGAACTCTGTTTGACCTCAACCCCTAGAGTATGATCAGTTAAATGAAGAAGCAGGATGAAAATCACACTTTCACTGACAGCCACCTCTAGGATTTATTGGAATGAGAAAAGAGGTTCCCAAAGAAAAGGCTGTAATCACAGAAAAGCAGAATGGTCAAGTGTACTAAGTAGACCAAGTTCTGCTTGGTACTGTGAGTACTATGTTCACTATGGTCTTTTTTCAGAAAGAAATTTTGAAGTTTAATTTTACTAAACTTTATTGATTTATTCTCTTCTCCTTCATTATTCAGTCAATAAAAAATGCAGAGCCCTTATTATAATCTAAACAAATGTTCCAGGTATTTTAAAACACGTAGATGAAAAGAAAAAGAGTTATTGAATAGCATGAATAGCATTGTATTAATTTTCCCTAAGATATTATAATAAATTAACATACTCTTGGTGGTTTATGATCAAACTCTTACAGTTTTGAAAGCCAGATGTGTCAAACAATCTCACTGGGTACAATCAAGAGGTCAGCAGGTTGGTTCCTTCTGGAGTCTCTAGAGGAGTCAGTGCCCTTGCCTTTTCTAGCTTCTGAAGAGCATGTGCATTCCACGCTCATGAACCCTTTATCACACCCTGTGACCTATTGCTTACATCACCCCATCTCTTATTCCTCTTATGTAATATAATCTCTCTCTGAGTCCCCCAAAAAGCCAAACTAAATAAACCAGGATAATCTCCCCATCTCAAGATCCTTACCTTAAGCACATTTGTAAATTTCCTCTTACCATAGAAGGAAATAGTCACAGGTCCTGGAGGTTAGAAAACAGACATCTTGGGGGATCATTATTCAGCTTTCCATGAACATAATTCAGGAAAGTGTAACAATCAAATAAAACAAATAGCCACACTCTCAGGCAAAGCACAACATATTTCCTAAGAGAGAAACCACAGATTATATATAGAACAAAGAAATCACTTTCAGCTTCTAGAATTGTTTGCATCTTGATATACAGTAATAACAGCAAACATTGATATTCCTCATTTGGGGTCAGGCATTGTTTCAAGCGTCTTGCTTACATAACTCAATCTCCACAATAAACCATCCTCATTGTACAGAAGAGGAAACTAAGGCATAAAGGTGTTAAGTGACTTTCCCAAGATCACATTGAACCAGCAGAGCTAGGATTTGAATTCAAGGTATTTGGTTCCCAAGTGAATACTCTTGATCATTTGAAAGGAAATTTAAGGAATGTTAAAACAAACTGAAACAATGAGGAAATGGAAAGGCATTGAGAACAGAGTGAACTGGATGAACAAAAGCAGCAGACAGGGAAATGAAAGGCAGATTCAGATCAGTGAGTAGACCAGGTAGGGTGCAGCATAGTAAGCCTAGGAGAAATAGTTAGAGATCAAGTAAGAGATCTAGCTTTAGGTCAGATTGTGGAAGACCTTGAAACCATGGGCATCATGTCAGAGCAGGGCCTTGAGAAGATTGATCTGGCAGCAGTGTAAAAGCTGGGCTGGAGGAATGAGAGGGGAGCTGCCCTCTCTCTGCTACCATTAAAGTTTGTATACCATAGACTGTGCCTGTGTCTCCCGGCTTCTAGTGAGTGAGCCCCGGAGGGGAGCTTAGTGTGTCATCCATCTCTGACTGCATGTGCCAGTAGGAGATAAAATTCAACAAAATTCAGCACAAAGGGCAGAAGGCAGAGGACCTGGATGGTGAAGTTGAAGCAAATACTAATACCATTTTGGAATCAATTAAAGAATATTTATCCACTTTTACTGAAGTCTTTGTTTTAATTTTTAAATGTTTTATTTTTAGTTGTTGATGGACCTTTATTTTACTTATTCGTTTATATGTGATGCTGAGATCTGAACCCAGTGCCTCACACATGCTAAGCAAGTGCTCTGTCATTGAATCACAACCCCAGCCCATGAAGTCTTTTAACATAAGAAAAAGAACAGAAATTTGTGATACGCAGATCTACATTGAAATCTTGACTTTTTCACTTTGTGTCTTAGATAATTTACCAACACCCAAGCCTCATTTTTTTTGCTCTTTAAAATAGGAATAAAATTAATTTACTGATAAATGTTAATTTATAAGATAATAGTCATATAGCTCTAATAAGGGATCTAGTGTATGAATGGTACCCAATATTATTATCATTATATTATTATTTATTGTTGTCCCCAATTTCACATTTAGGTCCATGTTATTGGTTTCCTTTGCTTTCCTAATGAGGAAACTTAACCTCAAGGAAAAGAAGAGATTTACCTAAAGCAATTTAGTAGAGAAGCAAGGATTAGAAGAACCTAAAGTTTAAGAACTCCAACTATGCAAATTTCACAACAGACAAAGAAGTCTAAGGGAAAGAGCAAAAAAGGGTGACCCACAGGTGAACCAGATGGGCTTCTAAGAAACACACACCTTTGAAGACGCGGGAATGCAGTTGTGGTGCACCTGGGCTCCTCACCTGCCAGCGCCACGCCCCTGAGCACTTTCTCAGAGGAGGGCCCGCAGCCACCTACAGTGCAGGGAATAGGGTCTCCGCCCGGCGACAGCTTTCTGCGTCCTTGACGACCAGGGCGGGAGCAGCCTCCTCCAGCGAGCCAGGCGCTGTGATTGGCCAGATCCCTGGGCTCCAATCCCCACCCGGTCGGGGTCCCCCGGGGTCTCCTTCTGTGGCTTCTTTAGGAGAAGACCGACTGCGCACCTCTGAGATACCTGGGTGGGGAAACGCCAGGTCGGGTGAGACTGCCCTTTCATTCTCTCCCGGAAAAGGTCTCCTGGCTGACGTTCCACTGCTGGGCGCGGAAGGGACTTGACATTCACAAACTCTGGGCATTGCAGTTTCTAGACAGCTTCAGAGAGGCCGCAGGTGTCCTGGATGGCGGGGTTCACAGATTGTGGGGCTTTCCGCGCACTACGTGGAACTGGGGTCTTAGGAAGGATCCTGGTCTGCTCTCAGACCAGAGTATAGGAAAGACCTTTGTCCCTACTCTATATGACCTTGGTAAGATCGCAAACCCTCTCTGGGCTCGCTGCTCAATCCTTAAAGCGAGCATTTGGAGTACAATGATTTCTACATGCCTCTTGGATTCTGAGAGGCTTCATAAGAGAATGGTCAGCCGGAGGCTAAGTTTACAGAATTTCTACCATTTCCCTTGGTGTAGGACCTGTTTAAACACCCAGTGCTTATCTCCAAAAATATCACAATGTCAGGTTCATTGTTGTGGAAACGGATGGTGACAACAAAGTCCACTTTCCTGTGCACAGTGGTCCTTCAGGCACTGGGTCTCATTGCATTCACCCTAAGTCCCTGAGAGCATAAGTGGAATTATTGCGATTTTACAAATGGGAATAGTCGAATAGGGATGTTTTCTATGTCTGGTTTCTTCTTTGACCTCACAAGACTCCCATCTGATGGTTTATAGTGCAGGAAGTCAGAGTCATCTAATGACTCAGTAGGTCTGCTTCACAGAAAATACTGTCTGTTGGGAGTTCCAGCTTTGCTACTTACTGCATATGTGATGCTCAGTAAGTCACATAGCAACGTATACCCATTCCCTCAAGTGTAAAGCAAGACTTTGAATAGTAATAAAGAGGATCTGATACTTGTATTAAGAGTGGGATACCTGTATTCATATGGAAATTTCATCTTCAGTTTTTAAGAAGCATTGGGTAGGTCAGAATGACTTTTTCTTTCTCTTTTTTCCTTTTTTCTTTTTTTCAACTCTTGTTTTTTAAGTGCCTTTGACTGAGGCTGTGAGATAATACAGTGCCTCTGACTGTGCTAAGTGAGATAATACAGGTGTGGGGGTGGCAAAATTCCACCTCCATTCTCTTAGGGTCCTGTCTGTGCCCAAGAATTAAATCTATTAATAGACAAAAAGCATATGAAGTTATTTAATACAAGTTTTTATTGTAGCATAGGAGCCCTCATAAAAAAATGAAGACACAAAAAAGCAGTTAGAATCAGATAGTATAGTATGAATCTGACAAGAATAAAATATTGTGATGAAGCAACCGAATTATGCGGAGAGACTTAAAAGATAAGAATTAGTTCAACAGGGTCTGTGCAGAATTATTTCAGTATCAAGTTTCTCATCTTTGAGGATAAGGATGTTGCAACTTTCACATGGGAATTTCATCTTCTGTTTTTAAGGTCAGAATGACTTTTTCTTTCTCTTTTTTCTATTTTCTTTTTTTCAACTCTTGTTTTTCAAGTGCCTTTGATTGAGGCTGTCACTATGCCAGAGCATTCTTAATCCTTCCTAGGTAAAGCAGTGTGTTCTAGTATTGTTGATGTTGTTGCTTTTGTTATTAAAAAGGATTCTGAAGTTGCTCAGTGAAAAATCAAAAGGAATGATTTATTTATTTTTCTACCTCTAGAGATTTGAAGGCACTTAAGGAAGCATCATGTCTTCAGTTTGGAAGACTCCCCCTAGGTCAAATGCAATGCCCGATATCGTTGTGAAAATCATTGGAAGCAAACACTTTCGATACCTTGCAGACAAGCCAAAGATGTAAGTTTCCTGCTTTAAAAATATCTTTATTTCTTAGATGACAATGAAATGTTTTAACCCAGAAATTTACATTTTAAAAATGCCATCCATGGAAAATTAAGTCATTAAGATGCAGCAGTGGGGGTAAAACGGTGTTGATAACTTCTATGTGCACTGTTTTCCTGATATTTTTCATCTTTATAATTCCCCATACTCCTTAATTACTTGGGTTGGTTTTTCAAATAGATGGGAAATATGAGCATTATGAAATTTATAAATATTAATGGAGTATTGCTGCTTCTTTTCATCACGTTTGTAATCTACCACATGTAGTAATTTGGGGATAGGGAGGGAAAAGAGGGCTGTTAGTCAATTTGTTGTGAATTAAAGGAGTGGGATTAATAATGAATCATAAGTTGTAAGGTTTTCACTTACTCTTATTCGCATTGGATATTCTTCTAAGCAGCACCTTATAGAGCACAGGTGACATGTCTTTCTTCCCTTCCCATCACAGCCACAAGCAAGAACATTCCTATGTCTCAAAAAGTCACTAGACATTTGGCACAGAAGGGTATAACTGGCTCATCCTTGCAGAGTTTTGATGGTTCACAGAAGAAAAGCAAGTGTTAGACCCACCTTTCTTATAGAGGACACTCCATAAATATCAGCTAGTCAAGAAGTTTGCCTTTTCCTCCTGGGATTGTTTCCTTAGCAATTCCCTCAATTTCAGAAACCCACAGACTGAATTAATAAAAAAAGGTATGGCATCATTGAACATAGGTACAGAGAGCAATGGTTACTAAACCTGACTCTCCTCAAAATTGACTTCAGGGTCCAACTCAAAACCAATCAAATCAAGACTCTCTAAATGTAGGTCACCAGGAATATGGTTACAAAGAACAGGCTTCACAAAGGCTGTTGGAACTCCATTGTGTTTTGCCTCTGCACCATCAGTATTGTCAGCCCAGAGAGATCCCAAAGTGAGTGCTGTCATCAGTGTCTGTCAGCACAGAGAAATGTGCTTGATAGCATATGACTGAGGCAGTGGAGATCCCTGCAAAACTGAGTGGTGTGAATTCAAATCCTATTTCTGGCCAGGCACAGTGGTGCATGCCTGTAATCCCAGCATCTTGGGAATTTGAGGCAGGAGGATTGCGAGTTCAAAGTCAGCCTCAGCAAATTAGTGAGATCCACAGCAACTTAGCAAGACCCTGTCTCTAAATAAAATATAAAAAAGGACTGAGGATGTGGTTCAGTGATTAAGTACCCTGGGTTCAATCCCTGGCACTAAATAAATAAGTAAATAAATAAATAAATCCTAGTTCTGTTCCTTCCTGGCCTTTGATATTGGGAAAGTGATTAACATTCCTGACCTCCAATTCTACATCTGTAGAGATTAAACAACACTTATTTAGTAGGGTTGTTGTGAGAGTTAAGTGAGAAAAAGTATACAAACACCTTTTCTGTGCATATGATGGTCCACATGCTTAAAAAAATGGTTCTGCTATTATTACTGATGTATGTCCTGCTATGGAAATTTAAATGATTAATGAAAAATCAAATCCTTTTCTATGAAATACTTCCCATTGCTTTTATATTCTATGCCTAGCAGGCAGGTTATCTGTTTTGCAGATGAGGAAGCTAAGACACTATGATGAGGTAAGCAATCATTTCAAGATCTCTGGTTAATTCTCTCTAACTTTCAAGTAAGGAGAATTAGACACCTAGCTTAGAGCTCCTACCTGAAAAATGACATGAGCACTCTCCTGATTCCTTTGTTTCCTGAGATTGTTTGTTTAGCCTCATTCTATTCAAAAACATTCTACTTTTCCAGGTACATCAATTATAATATGTTTCTAAAATGAAAGGGTGAAAGAACCCTTGTCCTTTTATAACTGGGAAAAATTCACTGGATCATATGAGAAGGTACTCCACCTTTATTTTTAAACTTCAGGAACCAGGGAATAGATAAATTGTGAAATATAATATTTATCTCTCCTGTGACACTCTAAAACATGGCATTATTTTTATGTAGAAGGTGCTTTATGTTTCTATGAACTTGATACTATTACCAGGATGACATGGGACTATTTAGTGTGCTTTGCTAAAGTAACTGTGTATGGTTCAAAAATAAACAACTGTGAAATGTTTTTTGTTGCTGACGTAAGGAGAAACCTACCTTTAGACTGTCACGCATGTCCTAGAGTTCCTCCCCTTCAAAGTGTCTACACTCAAACCAGAGCCCGAGGGTCTTTGGGTTGAAATAGTTGAACCCATTAGCCAAAGTCTATACAAGAAGCACAAGTAACCACCAAAAAGGATAATCTGAATTAAAAGAAAATCACAAATTAATAATGGATAGAAAATAAATCTTCCAATTTTACACATGTGACTAAGATTTCTTGTAGGATACATGTTAAAGATGGAATAATATACCAGACCTGAAGATTTAGCCAGCATGTGAGCTTGCTAAGGTTGCTGTAACAAGCTATCGCAAACTGGGTAGCTTAGGACAACAGCAGTGTATTATTTCACTGTTTGAGAAGTTTGAGGTCCAAAGCTCAGGTGTCTGTAGATCTGTGCTCCCTCTGAAGGTGCCAGGAAAGAATCTCTCTGTCTCAGGCCTTTCTCCTTGCTTCTAATAGTTCTCTGGCTTGTAGCATCATAACTCTAAGCTTTAGGGTTTTTTGCCCTGACTCCACCTAAGTTCAAATTTCTCTACTTTATGAAGACACCCATCAATTGGATTAGATTCCCTCCTTACTCCAGTAGGACCTCATCTTAATTCATTACATCTGCAATAACCCAATTTCCAAAGAAAGTCATCATTTAGGTGTGGAGATTAAGATTTAAACACAGGGACTTGGTAGAGACAATTCAACCTTAACAACCAATCTCCTATTTTATGAATGAGCTGAAACAGCAGAGGTCCATGGGCTTACAGCAAGCTGCTAAAGTTGTAGACCACTTAGAAAGAACTGAGACGGAAATGGAGCACTCCCTCCCTCTTCCCTAGGTTTAGCTTGTACAATTGTTTACGTAAAGGAAAATATGAAACACCTATTAGTATACAAGTTTTCCACCAGGAGATCAGCCTACGGAGATCAGAAAGCACATCAAGTGGCTTGTACTTTGTGCCACCAACATTTATCTTTTAGATCACTTCCAAAGGAGCTTCCTTGCCTCTGATTTTCTTGTTCTCAATTCTGCTCTCTGAAGCCTTATTGTTCAGTGTGTAGTTCATGGACTAGCAACACCATCCTCACCAGGGGCCTAGTTAGAAACAGAACCTCAGCACCATCTCCAGATGCACTGGGTCAGAATTTGTCTTTTAGCCAGATACCCAAGTGACTCTTATGCACACTTCAGTTTGAGAAGCCCAGTTTCAATTATGGCCAGAATGATCTTTCTAAAATACAAACCTGATAGTATTGTACCACCAGCAGCCCCAGATTTGCCTGCTGCTCCTGTGGCTCTCATAACACCTCTACAGATACTTATTGGTGACTTCACATACATCTCTTTTTCCCTCCTTTAACTGTAAATTCTATATGTACAACTATGTCCTCAGCACAAAGGACACAGTCTTGTACATGTTAAAAGCCCACTGCATGAGTTAGAGCAACATAGTTGCCAAAAAAACTAAAGATCTAGAAAGACAATACTTGGTTGCTTTAAATAAATTCAGATCTAAAGACCCATGCTATTAAAATAAGCATGCAGATGTTCCTCCGGAACCCTGATGAGTGAACTTTGATACTGTATCCAAAGGAAGATATGCCAGGTGACAGCAGACACATTTTTTCCTTCATTTACAAAAAGGAAATAAGAGTGGGGAATAAAAATCACAGAGCCAGAGGCTTGTGGACCATCTCTGGAAAGTTGTAGGCCAAAGAATTAAATATAGCATTAATTAGGAAAACGAATCTTGAAAGTGATGATCTCCAAGAGTTGGTATACGTTAACTGAAAACACTTTGGGCCACACTCATCCTGTTCCCTTTATTGAGGAGATCACTGCAACCCAAATGAAGGAAACAATAAAGACAGAGTATCTTTCCAGGTCAACAAATCACTAAGAACATCTTTCTCATAAAGTCCTGAGACAAGACAGAATTGTGCATTGAACACTATTGAGGTAGGTGACATCCTGTAATGGTCCAATCTAATCTGTGGAATTGTATTGAGTTTATACTCAATACAATTCCACAGATTAGATAAGTTATAAATAAAATAGGTTTACTTTGGCCCATAGTTCTGGAGGTCCAAGTTTGAGGACTTCACACATAAATGTTGATGGACTTCTTGCTGGCAGAGCCTAGCAATGGAGGAGAGCTTCACACAGCAGACACAAGTAGTGTGTGGTGTGTGTGTGTGTGTGTGTGTGTGTGTGCGCGCGCGCACATGTGCATATGTCTCCCCTTCTTATAAATTCCCCAGCATGCAATGGTGGGGCTTCACCTGATAACATTATCTAATCCTAATAACTTCTCAAAGGTCCTATCTCTAAGCACCATAGTCAGATTAAGTTTCCATCCTTTTAATACCCCACAATGGGGACTTAAACTCTCACATGAGTTTTGGAGGGAACAAACTATATTAAAGCCATAGTATATACCAATGTGGTGGTGATTAAAATAATTGTTATAAACACAACCAGCTGGAGGTAGGAAGGATTTGTTTGTGGCCATGTTTTTATTCAACAACTTTTGAATTCACAATCAAAGGAAGACAGACAAATGATTGTACATGTAAGGAAGTCTTGTCAGAAAAAAAAAAGGCTAAAACTAACAAGATCAAATCAACAGAAAATATACACAAAGTTTGTCTTTAGATAAGTGGACATGTTTGTGATTATGTGGTATAAAAGTCTGTTTGGTCTGCATTTGAGCTTCGCATGTACTGGGCATATCCGGCCAGAGAGATCTGAGGCCCTCTGCACTCAGCACTCTGGAGTTCTGTTCTTCATTCTGGATGCCATATTATAAGGGGGATCCTGGCACATTAAAAGTGGAGACAGCC